TCTCTCTCTCTCTCTCTCTCTTTCTTTCTTTCTTTCTTTCTCGTCAAATTCATTTTCAAAAACATTCACTATTAATACTATTAAATTATTAGTATTAATATTGACTATTGATATAACTATTGATATATGCCTACTGATATACAGTAACTATTGGTTTGTCTAATTCAATTTTAATTCAATAAAAATCAATTTAGTAATGAAACAAATTTTTAGTGCTAATTATGTTACAAATTATAACAATTTCCTACAGTATAATAGATTTTAACATTTATTTCATTCATTTTTAACTAAAAAGTATAAAATAATATAAATGTTATAATGATAATTAAAAAATAATGAAATAATCAGAGTAATTTAATTTTTGCAAAACATATTTTAAAATTCAATACTAATTTTGGTTTCGGGTTTCGGACCAATTTTAATTAAAAATTACCAAATTAAAATATGGATATTTAATATTTAAACCAATTTATGTTACACAACAATATTTTAAATAATTTTATAGAAAATCGCAAATATGGTTTACTTAATATGCTCCTTAATAAAAATAATTAATTAATAACTATACGTGATATAACTAATAGAAAGTACTTAAACAACATATCTATTAACTTAAATAAATACTTTTAATTTAAAACCAAAATTAATTTGCAAAATGAGGTTATTATTAATAATAAATAATTATCATTATAATTATTTTCATAAAAATCATTAAAAACAGAATCAATTCAAACGACCATGATAATAAAAACACGCGACAATTAACTAATGAACGCAAAGCGCAACAACACTAACAAAACACACACAGAATCCACAGAATATTCTTCAATACATAAAACACAGAATAAAAGTGAACGTAATTACTGTTCGCCGGACAACACATGACATGTGTTTGCAATGCATTTGTTGTGCAAAACAAATACCAAAACAAAAACAGTTAAAATAATTGTGATATAAATCACAATCAAAAGCACACAATGAATATTAGCCGACAACTACTTCGGCGGCCACTGATTGGTGGCCAACACGTGGCGGGCGGGGGTCTGGCGGGTGTGGTTCAGGTCCGCTACGCCCGGAGTATAAAGCCGTGGAATATCGGTCCGGAGGGCGCGTGGAAGCAGTTGCGGGGCAAGAAAGTGATCAAGGTGGAGTTGCCCGACTTCAACGAGATCCGATTGGACGCCAAACTGACGCCCGAAGAGGTGCGCTCTCGCATGAAGGAGAAGGGAGTGGCGCCGCCCCGGCTCTACACCGAGAGGGATATGTTTCTCACGGCAACCAACGGAGTGCTCGACCCCTTCGTCCCGCCCGAAGGCGACGGCAAACACTCCATCATTTCCGGATCAGTTGAGTACCACTTCTTATGAGTTACCATCACTTGTTTCCGCCGTTAAGTATCCATTGTGTGGTCTAATGATGTAAATGTTTTGTTTTTGTGAACCCCTCTGTTAACCCCTACCCCCACCTCCGATGTGTCCACCGATTGTCTCATAATAGGGTGCGAAACAGCGTTACGATGCGGTGACGAAGAAGGGCCGGTCGTTTCTGGCGCTGCGAAAGATCCGCACCTACGATGACGACCTGGATGTGCCCACTTTCGCACAGCAGGCGCTCGACATCTACATTAAGGCACACCGAGCGCTGGCCGATCGCGACTACGACCGACTCATGGATTACGTGACCGAAAACGCTTTCCCGCAGATGACCCATAAGGCCAACCAGAAGACCATCAAATGGCAGTTCGTGTCCGCCATCGAGAAGCCCATTGTATCGCACATACGAACGCTGGATATGTTGTCTAAAAACAATCTGTTCGGTCAGATGACTGTCCGACTCCACACCCGACAGATTCTGGCCGTTTACGACCGGTTCGGCATTTTAATGCACGGCAGCGAAGCCGTCGTCAAGGATGTGCTCGAGTACGTGGTGTTTGAGAAACATGTGGCCAATCTATACGGTACGCGAGATCTCACTTATCCCACAAACATATGAAAAACAGATGTGTTTTTGGTCACAATATGTATAACGATATTTCCTAATGTCTGTATTGAATATAACCCCTTCCTCTTCAGGCAAATGGAGAGTTCACGCGAAGTTAATACCCGATTGGATGCCACCGAAAGAGCCGATTCGACGCACGTTTGTGGCGCCGCCGAAACTGCCGCCGAAGTCGGAGCGGGAGATACTGTTTGAAAAGGAGGGCATTATGTCTGACCAGAAGAAGGCCGACAAGAAGGAGAAGGAGAAGCAGAAGAAGTTAGACCAACAGAAGAAGGACGGCGGCGGCGGTGACGGCCCGCAGCCGGCACTCGCCTAACACGGCATTAGGTTTTTTAAATATAATAAATAGTCATTAAATGTCATAATTTTTTTTAATTAGTGATCAATTGTATTGTAAATATTTTTGAGGAAACATATGATTTATTAATCATTGATTGAAATAAATTTATAAAGTTGTCAAATAATGTGCCTTTCACTTGATTTTTAAATAATTTTTTGATCTAGCTCAAGAAAGTCAAAAGACATCATTTAAGTAGACGTAGGTTTTGTGCTTTGATTGTGTTTGATACCTGAATAGTATTACTCACTTTAATATTGTACATAAATGCTAACTCAATTTTGGCCATTTTTTGGCCATTCTGACTTTACTGATCTAGCTATTAATAATCGACTACATCACACCATGGGTTTTACAAACATTAGATTTTCACCTTTTTGATCATTTTAGATCATTTAATTCAATATAATTTACAAACAGGTGACAATAAAATGACCATCAAAAAATAGTTGGTCATTTAATATATTTTAATTTCAATTAATTTAAACTAAATTTCTAAAATTTCTACAAAAATAAAATCCAAAACACTATTACCGTAAATGAGACAATGAATGGAAAAATGCATACAATTTGAGTGAACAGAAAAAAAGTTTGAAACAAATAAAAACTTTATTTTACAGACAAAACACATACCAATAAATATTATACAATACAAACTGTATTCACAAATTGCAAAAATAATCGTCAAATCGCTCACAACATCCGTTACACCGCAAAAACTATTCAATATGGGGAGGGGGTAAGTATGATGAGGGGCTGCGCGGCTACTAATAACTAACCCATAAAACACTTGTTTGAATGGGGGTTCAAATAGCGATCACAATTGGTAACTGAATACGTGAACGGCTAAAGTAATAACAATAAATAATGTGAGTAATGGTTAGTAATGGGGGGCGACTGTGAAGGCGAGAGTATGAGAGACACAGGTCTGAGAGTGAATGCATTGGTTTGAGCGGCGAATGCATTGGCTGTCAATGGCATAGAGTTTACAGCAAAATGCGGCCATTTTTTAGCCCACACTGAATGCCATACAAAAACCTATTGAAACACTGCTGTGAATGAATGGCATAGAGTTTTGCTGTGAGTATTCAGTGCTTGCATTGAGTGCTCGTATTATTTTGACAACACTTTTCAGACATTCACTATATTTACAGTCCGTTTCACTGATTGTCCCCTAAATGTGTTGTCAGTCACGCGCGGACACCGGTGTCCACCCATTCCTCCGGATGTGCTCGTCGCCGCGGCTCTGCTGAAGACTGCTGTTTGTTGTCGTGTCCGCACAGTGTATGTGATGTGCGGCCAAACAATAACAATACACCACTCGATGGATAATCAAAGACTGATTCCACCGCCGATACTGTCCGCCAGAGTGTCCACACGATTATCACCGCCGCCACAGACACGACACTTGTCTCCCAGTTATTAGTTGTCATTAATTGGTATTTGATTTTTGTTTGACACGAGATTTGTTGTGATTTTTTTGACAAAACTTTTTTTGTTTTGTTTAACGTTTTAATTGTCTATTTATTTACCGACTCTTGTCTGACATCACAGCCATTGAACCGATCGTCGACTTAATCGCGCAATCGATTGCATACAAGAAGTGTTGACCACAAAGAGTGGTGACCGGCATCGCCGCTGCCATCCAACCCAATGGCCGCCTCAATGCTGGACCAGACCGGCGACGGCCAACACGCGGCTAATCAGTGCGAAAATGACGGCAACTTTGCTGTCATCTGTTCCTTCTTCTATAAGTTCAGTGAATCCCTTGGAATCACTTATAATATCCAACACTTAAAGGAAATGATTGAAGACAGTAACCATTGTACGTGTTTTTTTATCAATTGTGTCCACTTATACCCTATTGTTAATGCGTTTGTCATTTTTGTGGTCACATCTATAGTGAGCGAAGAATTGGTTGAATTGCACATAAAGTTGTTGCGGAAGCGCCGGAAGTACATCAACAAAGACAAGTGGGAACGGGCTTTAGTCAAGTTCTGCGCCGAATACTCAAACGTGGACTCCTGGGAACTCGAGAGATACGGCTATAAGAATAGCAAACTGTCCATCAAATTGGAGTTATTGAAGGTATGGACACCGCGTGACCGCCCGATTACCCCATCACTCGCGGCTCTCTTTGACCACAAATTTGCTAAAATGTTTGTTTTGTTTGCAGCGCTTATTAGAGGCACAGTTTGACTACAACTCGAAATTCAAACTCGAAGTGAATGCGATCGACGCCCAGACCCTACGGATACTGCCGATGGGTCGCGACGTTAACGGACACATGTATTGGTATCAATTGGATCCCGAATACAATTTTCGCATATATCGCGAAGAGGTCGAAGACGAACAGTCGTGGCTTCTTGTTTGCCAGTAATTATCATCGCTTTATTCCCATCAGTGAATCCGTGTCTAAATTTTGTGAATCTCTTTTACCAATAGGAATAAGACTCAATTGGAAGCGTTGATCACAAATCTTCAGACAAACAACACGATTGACGCGCTCAACAAAGAGGAGACATCATCTCTTAGTGATACCAACGATGACACCAATAGTAATCTCAACATTAAATTGTCACACAATTTGAAACAGGAATCCAATTCTAATTCGGTTGATATGGAGGTGAAGACACCGCCCGTTGAGCCGAAAGTGTCCGCCGAAACCAAAGTGTTATCGACAAAAACGGTGGCCAACGAAGTGACCAAAGAATGTGGTGACGAGAAAATGATGACCGAAGACGTGGTGACCTGTATTCGGGAAGTGTGTGCCGATATGTGCACCAAAATTGAGTCCAATTCTGTGTCAAAGTGTGCGATAAAATGTGAACCAAAAACTGAACAACTGATTCGTGATCACCAAAAGAGCTTAACATTAGAAATAAAAGCCGAACCCATGGATGACACCAACGAATCGGCCGTTAAAAGTGTTGCAAACGGTTTAATTGGTTCTGAAAAGACATCGATTTTGTCACACATTAAGTGCGAAACGACTGAAGAGTTAGATTTGAAAGCAAATTGTTTGAACACTTCTGCGAAAGTGAGTGATTTTGTGGTGAAAACAGATGATAACAAACAGTTATCCGAAGAAAAGACTATTTTCGATGAGATTAAGAGTGAAGTGAATGGTTTCGAGCATAAGATATGTGTAAATAATAATCAAATTGAGAACAATATCGGCAGTGATTTCTATTTTAATACGGATTCAAGACATTGTAAAACAAACATTGATTTAGACATTGAAATTGATTCCCAAACAGTGTGTGATGTGAAGGATGTGATGGAGGGTATTGTCGGCCGCGTGTCCGACCAGTTATGTCCACTTGTAGTGCAATCGACGCGCAAAGAGGCAACTAATAGGCAGCACAACAGCCACAGCGGTGGCCACTCGTCCGGTGCCGTCACAGACATGACACTCCTGTCCATTGAACAAACAGTTTCCGTTTTGTGCGACTCTTTAGTCGATGACGTTTGCAAAGAGTCAGAACAGACGGACACAAGCACTGCCTCCGGAGGTCGTGGTCGCGGCCGAGGGAGAGGTCGCGGCAGCTCCAGAGGGCGCGGTCGAGGCCGGGGCAGAGCGTCGGCATCGGTGGCTAAAGTCAATATTTATAATAAAAGCAATCGAAGCAGAAGTAAATCGAGTGAAAGTCGTGACGAGAGGGCTGAGGAAGAAGAAGCGGAAGAAGAATCGTTTCCACAGAAGAGAACGAGTCGTCGAATACAAGCCCTTCAGGAGCGGAAGGCGATCGAGATGTCGGAACAGCTCCGCAAAGAACAGCAACGCATCGAACAGTTGGCAAAAAAGAGGAACGACTTGATAGCGGCCAAAACCGACGACCAATCGGTTGTGTCGAACGGCACCAAAAAGAAGGGACGAAAGCAATTGATTGAGGTATGGATTGAACACCAATTGATCCGCAATTTAATTGCTATTGAATTTAATTGTTCACTAAATAACTAAAATTACTTATATTTCTTATTTCACACTTGATTTCTATGCAATCTTTCATTTCTCGCTCACTATTATCTTCTCTATAGAAGAAGAGTTGTCTCAATACTTCCTCTTCTGTAAGAATTGTCTTTGAATTCTTTGCCGTAAATTATCTCTTAATTACACAATAATTACATAAAATATTTATCGATATTTAGAGCGAAGAAGAAGAGGGAGAGGAAGAAGAAGAAGAAGCGGAGGAGGAAGAGGTAGACTCAGACGCGTCCGAAGACAAGAAACATAAGAAAAAGAGGGGTCGGAAGCGGAAGAACGGTCCCAACTCTAAGCCCTGGGAAGAGAGCGACTCATCCAAGAGTTCGGCCGAAGAAGAGGAAGAAGAACACGAAGATGAGGAGGAAGAAGAAGTACTTAAGTTTGAGGACAACGACGACGAGTTTGCGTGCGAAGAGTCCGATTCGGACGCCGAACCGGTGGTCGTCCGACGCGCCCGAACTGTCCGAAAAGGTTAGCTCTAATCCATTGATAGCTTATAAAATTGTTTGAATGAGTTTTTAACTTATTTGTGATTTGTTTTTGCCGATTGACAGTCCGTTCCGACAGTTCGGACAGCAATTCGTCGAGCAGTGAATCTGAAGTGGAAAACGATGACAAGCCGTGCGGTCGTTGCGGCAAATATGATCACCCGGAATGGGTTTGTGACCATTCTTTGCATTCACTTTAACTCTTATTGAACCAAAAGTGCGATAAGAGATTCAGTTCAATAACTTTTGTCATAGAATTTATTGAATGTTTATTTATTTGTTATCAAAAAAATGTTTTTTATTTATTTATTTGTTTTGTGTTATAATCACTGCATTAATAGATACTGTTATGTGATAAATGCGACGATGGCTTTCATACGGCGTGTCTTAGGCCACCATTACTTATAATACCCGCCGGCGAGTGGTTTTGTCCGCCCTGTGAACACGTGAGAGAGAGTCGTCTATTTTTTCGTGGTTTAGTGTCTAATGATTTGTGTTTTATATACAGAAAATGTTATGCGAAAAACTGTGTGAAGAGTTGTCAACACTTGCCGTACATTTGGCCAAAAAGGAAAGGGAAGAACTGCGGAAACAACGGCTCAAATATGTGGCCATAAGTGTAGACAATATACTGAAAAATCCTGTCGCGAGAAATAAGTCAAAGAGTCAGGAGTTTGCGGACGACTTGTTGGCCGTCGATGAGGACAACGACGGCGGCGGCGATGAGAACGCGGCCGGCAATGAGTTGGCCGACGGCCACAACGAGACCAATAACGAGCCGAAAGCCAAGAGTAAACACCGGAAACGTGTGGTCCGTAGCGATGACGACGACGACGAAGACAACAGTGACGAAGACGACGATGAAAGCGATAGAGAGGACGATATCGGAAGAGCTCTTTGGTCTGACGAGGAGGAGGAGGAAGAAGTGGACAAATACGCGGCCATTAAGTCGCGCCGCAATAGGAGTCGTAAGAATATAAACTACAAGTTCTCAGAATACGACCAAATGATCAAATCGGCGATTGAGATGGAGATTGAGTACGACTACGATCCCGAAGAAGTGCCCGCTTCTGGTGTACAGAGCAAAGGCAAAGACATGTCCAATATTATCGCTTCCACAACAGAAGAGTTGGACTTTAGTATAACTCCGATTGGCGACAAAGTGGACGCACCTCTTGTCGACAAATCACAAGAACTTCTCACCAATGAATCTGTTGATAAGGCCAGCGAAGGCACGACTCCTATGGTAAAGGCTGTGGTCTCTGAGGGCAAGAAAATTGATGGCATGAGTGATGAGGAAGAAGCGGAAGCGGAGGAAGAAGAAGATGACGATGAATACGATACGGACGAGAGTTTCTTGAAGTCTAAATCCAAACAGAATAATAAGCGAACGAAAGGCTCGAAGGGTTCCCGAAAGCGTCATCGAGGGCTCAATGATCTGTCGGACACCACCGAAGACGACGACTATAAGGACGAAGACTTTAAAGGCGACGATTCGGACGCCACGGAAGTGGGCGAGGGATCCGATGAGGACTTTGACGCCGACGACGGGTCCACACAAGAGGACGAGGAAGCGTCCGATGATTCGGACTTTAAGTACACGCGTCGGCGTTCGGGTCGTAACGCCCGGCAATCGAGTAAGAAGTCGAGCAAAAGTCGGGGTAAAAGTGGTCGCAATTCTGGCCGCAGAGGCTATAGAAGGGATGCGTTTGTTGTGGACAGCGATGAGAGCGAAGGCGACTTTAGAGGCGGCCGATCGAAGGCCAGAGGCGGTCGGGCGGCCGCCAGAAAGAAAGTGAGTTATGCCGAGGAGACTGAGACCGAAACCGATGAAGAAAAGTATTACAAACCGGCGACCAATAAGAAGAAGAAGTCGCGCAACGACTCGGAAAGCAGTGACGAAGAGTGGGGCCGACAGGGGGTGAAGGAGTCCAAGACATCGAAAGCCGAGCGGAAGCTTAAGAAATTGTGGGAAGAAAGCGACGACGAAGAAGAGGATGAGGAGGAGGACAATGACAATGAAGATGAAGACAATGACAACGAGGGTGAGAGTGAAGAAGAGGGCAAATCAGAGGCCAAACCCGGCCCCAAATCGTCTAAACCCGCGGCTGACGCCCCACCGGCCGAACGTCTCTCAATGAAAGGCAAACCGCGGCTCTCGAAGGCCAGGGGTTTGGCTAATCTTAAAGAGGACTCGGATGACGACGAAGACAGCGATTCCAACGTAAAGAAGTCAACAAAAAGTAATAAGAAATCAAAACGCGTCGTCGAATCGGACGATGAAATCAGTGATAAAGTGAGTGAAAAGAAACCTAAGCCTATGACCGGTGCGGACACTACTGTCCAGAATAAGAGTGAATTAAGTGAACGCTTGGGCACTGAACCCATCAAATCGGGTGTAGTTTGTGATCCGACTCTAATGAACCAGTCGTTGACCGACAATCAGGTGGCCGTCGAAGCGATTTCAGTGCCGCCGCCTCTCCTTCACAATAAGGACCCGCAGTTGTCCTCATCGATGGTTCCCATCACTGCTGTCCCGCACATGACTGGTCCGCCGCTCAACAGTTATCCGCCGCACCCGACGGACAATCTCTCTATGAAACCGACACCTGTGCCACATATGGACCCCAATTATCATAAAACCAATAATAATGTCGACGAATACTATTCGTTAACACCGATGGACGGCTATCCGGTGTCGCGACCGCCGCCACTCAAACCCACTTCGGTCGCCGACCCGTACCACCAATCGTCGAGTCCGCCAAGAATTATGTCGTTAGACCCGAACCCGGGTTATCCACGACATCCACAAGAGTATCCGAACGCACCGATCGGTCATCCATTACAGGCCACTAAAGGACTAATGGATCCGCGAATGGAGAATCCATACATCGGTCACAGTATGCCTCCCAATGTGAGGCCAATGCATCAGTTTGCACACCAACCGCCGCCTCTGCGCAACGACTTGCGACCAATGCACGGCCCGCCGCACAGCGGACACCCATTTGGCGGACATTACTATCCGCCGGTTCCTCCCGAAGCCGCTCATCCTTATTATGCGCGGCCGCCGGTCACCCGACACGACACACCTCCGTATAGTCCGGCACACATTAGGCCTCCAACTAATAGCCCGATGAATGCTGTGCCGCCTCCAGGAGCGCCTCCGCGGACTACCGCTCCCCCAACGAGTTCTTCAATGCCCGGTCAGCCGCCACCGAACTACAGACCGCCCTCTGGGCCCCATTGGGGGCCACAAACGTCACCTAATCGGTCGCCAATGCCGGCCGGTTATAGCTTTCCCGGTCACCCCCACCCGTCAGCGGCCGCTTATTATAGTAGACAACCGGGACCTCCGGGTCAGCCCATACCAGGGCATCAGTCGGCGCATATGATGCCACTGCCGCCGTCGCCATACCCTCACAGTCCATACCAGAGCTACGGCTACTTCGGGCCGAACGCCGGACCGGGCGCTCCTAACGGCGCTTTCATGATGGCTAATCTCTTGCAACACAGACCGCACGCGCCCGAAGAGGCCGGTCCTCCCGGCGCCGGTCACCCCGTCGTCCCGCCCGCACCGCCGGCAGCCTCTACGGCCTCCGTGACGACGCCCACCACGACGTGCGCGCCCACCACTGCAGCTAAACATTAGCGCCGGTCACACACTCTCTCCTCTACTTATTGAATGCCACAAAACCAATGATGAAACGGATCCACAAATGCAAAGACAATAATCGTTTGCGAATCAAAGAAATTTCATGAATTGTTTTGAAACACACAATGAAACCAATGAAAGACAAAAACTATATTTTCACTAAAATTAACTCAAATTCAAGTCTTAATTAGTTTTGTTTTGCAATCGAGGCTTGAATTTGATTTGTTTTGTGTTTTTATAAATCATAACTCAATTCAGTTGTAAATAGCGTTTTCTTTTTGCCCTCAATTTTATTGAACATTTGAATCGTTTTCATTAAACACATCAATCGATTTGATTATTATTATAATTAATACATAATTATGACTACAATTAGAGATCTCACACATGTTTGGCGAACAGAAATCAAAGCAAACGATATTATAATTTATTTTTTCAAAAGCAATGAAAACTTGTGAGAAAAATACCAATTGATTCTTACATTCATTTATTTCATTCATCTGTGTATTTGATTGGTTTTCTAGGATTAAGCGATCAGTGGATTGAATGCATTATTATTTTTAATCCGATTATTTTTGCAACAAATTATTTCCACATTTGCTTCAATGGTTAAGAGTCTGATTGAAAATCTATTGTTTTCTAAACTAAAACTAGAAATAATTAGGAAAACATTTTTAAAAAATACAAAAATGTAAATTTAATTTATTTTTTATTGGAAAATATAGTTTACATATAACTAATCGCATGGAAACAAATCAATTCATTTGTAATTAATTTATATCTAATTATATAATATATTATTAAAACGGAAAGAGAAATAATTTTATAAATAATTGTGAAAATAATGATAAAAAGCATTTGAAAATTTAATACAATTTTTTCTGACATTTGTTTATAAAATTTTGACATTCAATGAAACGAAATGTATTTCTCTCTCACAATACACTCACAGCAACACAACTCTCATCGCTCTTATGTGCAGTAATTTATAGTAAAATTTTTAAAAATAAAAATATTTAATAATTATTGAAAAACAATTGTATTTTATTATTTTATATATAATATTTGACGAGAAAATCGCATTTTATTAACAATTACCAAAATGAGTGAGAAATCACTTCTTATCGTTAATTCACTAAACAATTAAAATGTTATTTCAATGAATAAATAAATATTGATATAAATTGAGGGCACTATAGGGGACACTATAGGCGACACTATACGGGGCACTAATTCAATGGATTAACGGATGATTTATAGATAATGTTTGAAACTATAATCCAATTCGTGATCGAGGAGTATATCAGTGTTTGGGCTCCGATGACTGCGGCGACTGTGCTGTACGGCCGGCACATCACTGCTATTCAATGACTGCATCTCTACGTGAATACCAGTCGATTGAGTGCTTTTGTCGCCACCGGTGGACACATCGGAGTCCATGAGTGACTCGTCGGCAGATTCGCTGGACGTCTGGTCACTACTGGACGACGTGAACGATAGCTTTCCCTTCTTTCTGACCGCTCTCTTCATGCGTTTATGTCGTAAACATATGACCACAACAATGGTTGACATCACAATCACTATTAATAATGATAATAACATCGATGCGATCGCTATTAATGTCGTGAAACCAACTGTTGATTCAAATCGATAACAAAATTAATTAATTAAAACTTATTTATAAATTTTATAAAACTTTGAAACAAACTTTTCTCCATTAAAACAATGACTTTATGGTCGGAACCGAATCTATTAGTGACCGAACAGTTATAGACACCAAAATCGGACTGAAATTAAAACAAAAGTTTAGATAATTTTTGTTAAATTCTGAAAAAATTAATTAAAATCAATACTAGTTTAGCGTTATATATGATAAGTGTGGACAGTATTGTCGACTCTCCGGGTATGCGCTCATCGATTATATTCACGCCTCGAGTGCTATCTATAGCTACCATCTGTTCGCACAACGAAATGACAATTAAATATAATTGTGACAATTATTATGAGATAGTAATGACCTGTCGATTGTGATGCCATAATATTTGTATCGGTTTGGGAACAGAGTTTACATAACAACCGATTCTAACAGTCTCTCCGGTCAGACCGTAGTGTATATACGGCTCCTCTATTTGCGGTGGACCTCAATATTGTGAACACAGAAAATACACTATAAATCACACGAAAAAATGCAATTAAAACATACCATTCAAGCGGACAATCAATTGCGTGGATATCTCGGGAAAGCCCTTCACGGAAGCCCTGCAGACATATTTGCCGGCTTTGGCTTCTGTCACGTCTTTCACCGTAAGCTCGGTCTCAGTGCTCAACACATTGCTCTCACCCAACATAAGCCACGCGATGTCTGGCTTCGGGTTGCCGTCCACTTCGCACCGGAGCCTCGCGTCTCGGCCCGCGTCCACGCCGTACACCGTTTCGTTCAGGGGTTTTAGTATCGGCCCGAAGGCCACGTTGAGTGTAGTGGTCGCCCGATTCGTGCCAACACTGTTGCTCACCTGACACGCGATGACCGCCCCATTTATATAGCGGTCCACTCCCACCAGCAATAGTTTGGTGCTGTAGTCGCCGATTATTATCTCATCGTTTTTGAACCACTTGTACAACAATTCGTTGGGATTTCCGGTGGCGTCACAACTGAGTGCTATGTCGTCGCCGACCTTCGCCTGACCGCCCGGTTCTGTGACCGAGAGCTGCACTTCGGCCGCGTATTTCACGTCCAACCGAATGGACGCCTTGAGGGGCTCTTTAAGGGCCGAGTTTTGGGCCCGACAGACGACTGTCCGGTTGTCGTACTCTTTGCCGGCGATGAATATCCATCGCGACTGAGCGTTGAAACGTTTCCCGTCACTCATTGATTGCGATGAGTACGTGATGTTACGACTCGGCACCGGCTGTCCGTCCGAGTAATACCAGTCCAACTGATGAGTCGATTAGAAATTATACAAAACTAATCAATGAATAGATTTCCTTCAATTAGTACTTCCATACCTCTGGCGCCGGTTTACCGCCATTTGACTCGCAATTCAGTTCAATAACAGTTCCGGCGGTCGTCCGTAACAAATCTCCCTGCGCTCGGGTTTGGACAATAATTGGCAGTTCGGGCGCAACCAAAACGGTCAACACTGCGCTCCGGGACCTGATTCCGGGCGCAGTGTCTCCGCTGCCGCTCACCTGACACTGGAATACGGCGTCGTCTTCGAGAGACACGGAATTGATTTCCAGTGAATAATCGCCTAAAATATGAGTTTTGGTTAAAAAGTTGGTGGTAATTAAATTAACAAATGACCATCATCATCTTTGCCAATCATCGTATATCTGGAAAATCCATTCAGATTCCTCTCTATCCCTAATCCAAACCCATCTCTTGTCCCTGAAATATGTGTTAAATTTTTGTCAATACATTTAATTATTACCAATTATTCAACAGGTTTTGTATGGATTATAATTTATAATTTATAAATAAATTACTTAAGAGTCTTAAGTTAAGACTTACATTGAATGGATCCAACTTTATTGAGGATACGACAGCCGAGTGTAACACTACTTCCCATCACTACTGTCTGGTCGTTGGGCTCCACTGAGAATCGCTGCAAACCTTTTTCGGGTAATTAATAAAATTACAAACAATTTAATTATCATAAGTTAACAATAAAATAAAGTATAAAACGAGTTAAAAGTGAATACTTTGTGCGTTTATCTCATATGAAATTAGCAGTAAATTTATTATTACATTAATTATTGAATAGTCGATCATTTTGATCGTGATAATTGTTAAACATTGTTTATATTGTTTTCTCGCAAATAACACAAAATATAGTTTAATGAAGTGAATGCGGAAAACCACCCATTTGTACGCTAACCCAATTTCATTGTTGTACACATACTTATAACTTGATAGCACCGGGAGGTTAGGGGTTAACAACAATTGTGTAATTCAATCCGCTATTAGAATATTTTGTATTCAAAATTCTAGTTATAGTTGAAATATTTATTTTATTTTAAAATAATTTCTTTCTTAAAATAACTAAAACTTTTATTTTGTTTAACTATTTATAATAATTTGGTCTTGGTAATAGTATTAACAATTTAGTGCTATATAATAAATTTTATATAATATTATATATTTTAATATTATTTAATATATTTAATTAAAAATAGAACATTATATACCACAAATATTTACAAACTATGGTGATTTTTCTATAGTGCAAATACTATTCCACTCTATTTAAAGATTTTACACTAAAAATGACCAACATTGTTTATATTAAGAACCTGGCTTTAAACTATTCGCGGTATAAATTAGTAATTTACATATATTTAGCTCGTTTTGCAATCTTAAACAAAAACAATAGTAAAGTCAAGGATTTTATTTCATAACCACTGGATTCACATTGACTTTGAAATTAAGACTTGTATTGTAGACTCAAGTATTGGCGGAAATAAGCAATTCAAATGCTTCTACTTTATACTGTATCGTTAGTTTTTTCTCAAATTGCTCTTTAATTCATAGTTAGAGAGAGAGAGAGAGAGAGAGAGAGAGAGAATGTTAAATAAATGGTATATTGAATTTCATACAGAAAAACACGAATTCAATACAAAATGTATTTATAAATGCGAGAAATCTGTCAATTCCTGCGGAATAACCATTGAATGACTTGTTTTAAACATAATGTCAATTAAAATCGTGTTTTATTATTATGTTATGAAAAATTGCAAAAATATTAGATTACAAAATATATTGACTTATAAGTTGTGCACCATTTTTAGTCTAACACTTATTGATAGGTCTTAATTATCCATATTTATTGTTACAATATGTTCATTTATTTATAAATTACAATAATTATTTATAAATTGATTATATTCTTAGCTAAAATATTACAATTGGATTATAGTGTATAATATTTTCAGAGCAGATATTATAAGAAAATTGCATTTCTGGACAACAAAATTAATTTATTGAGAAATCAATGGGTTATTTGCCAACAAAACTAATCATTTATTCTCAGATTAAATAGACAGGTATTCATATTAATAAGATTCAAACTTGGTTAAAAAAGATATATTTCAAATAAAACAAGTTTTTGTTATAAAAATCCTAAAGTTATTCAAAACATCGCAAAAAGACTTTATGTGAGAAAAGTTTTACAAATGAAATGATAGTTATTTCCATTATCGATGAAATTCATGCAAAAGTAAAAGTTATATTTTTAAAACTAAAGTTTATATTTTAAATTCAAACTAATTAAATAAATCACAAAATGTTGAGTGAATTATTAGCCAATGTAGTAATCAAAGTGATTAACTCGTTAATAACGGTCTACACGTACACAACACTACCGATATATTACTACAAACAAAAACCATGGCTCACATTAAGCAGGTCTCGGGCCGAACGGGCCGTACGGGAAGATCCGTTAGATCCGGGCAGCGCTTGGCGTCGAGTGACGCCCGACCCGAAAGTGGATGCCTTCGAAGTGGACTCCGTTGACGCCCTGTTGGAAGTGGCGGCCAAGAGTCGGGGCAAAAACTATACGATCGCTGGCGTGAAGGTCGAGGACGGCGGCCGCTATTTCTACGATTGGTTTACGTACGGCGATGTCATCCGACGGTCGGATAATATCGCCCGCGGACTCAAACTCTTGGGTATCGGCGCCGGCGATAAAGTGCTCATATTTGCCGAAACCAGACTCGAGTGGCTGTTGTGTGCGTTCGCACTCTTCCGGTTGGGCGCTGTTGTGACCACACTTTTCGCACAGTTAGGTCTCGAGGGTATTGTTCACGGAATTCATCAGGTATTGCATTCATTATTACATTCATTATTACATTCATTATTACATTCATTATTACATTCATTATTACATTCATTATTACATTCATTATTACATTCATTATTACATTCAT